GAAGTACTGAAACCAAACTAGTTCACTGTCGCAAACCATTTTCTCCTCCAATAATGATTGAATCCACGATAGTTCATAAAATGAAAATACCGGGACAACGCGTGTCGAGATACCGCGATCAGTACAATACAACTTATATACATGGCCTCTATGAATGATCGTAGCATCGTAGTCACCGTTGATATATTTTATTGATTTGCCGCTCTCTACTTATGGGGATCGAACTGTAACACAATCGGTCGCTTCAATGATAGTAAACAACATAAGCAGAGAGCGGTACTATTTCAATGGCTACTACGATACTACGATCATTTATAGAAACCCTGTACTATACGACTCATGTATTGTCTGTATCATCATGAATTCTCATTTCTATGTGGAATGTGGATATACACTTTTCCAAAAAATTAACGCACCATCAAAAGGTAGCCAAAAGAGATACATTTTCTTCAAAACTACATACTTGTCAGATTTGGACGTTTTTTCTTTCGAATGACATGTTATCTCCTTCTGGCGTGCAAACCATATTCGTATAAAAACCTCTTTTTAATGAAAACCGGGTGTAGCGATAGGCAAGAATACGAAGGCGTGAATTCAATTTAAATATGCGCATAAATTTTTTTGATACAATATACTACAATAAGTACTTCAAAAAACACCATATGAATACCCTACACTTTCATGGAACGTTCTAACATAATCCCTTCTCCTGTATTGCCAGCTGTTTCATTTCAAGGAAGTATCAAGTAAATATTTCTCAATTTAGAATCGGTCCATCTGTGAACTGGTGAGATAATTTTACAGTTAAAATTAAGGCAATTTGGTAATGAAGATTATTTCCTCCTTTTGGTTAATGCTACAAAAAGTTTCTCGGTTTGATTTGGATTTTCAATGTTTCATTGATGTCAATCTGTCAATTATTTGTCATATATATTTCCTTCGGTGCTAGCTTTGTCTTATGGCCATGAGCCTTATGGTGTGACGATCTCAATCCAATTTTTGAGTAACTTTTAATTCAATTTGTTTGATTTTATGTGATGGTAAATTTCGATGAGTTATTTGTTTTTTCAGCAGTTGCAAATTGTGATATGTCCCATTAGGGCCGCTTTTCCGGCTGACACCCCCCCCCCTTTTCACCTATCTGCTGCACATGGTAAGATTCATTTCATGAGTGGCAATTGTAATTTTTATATGTGTCTGATGATGGCCGAGTGGCGGAACTAGTAACACTACTTATGTAATGAAAAATGTTTGTGGTCGACCGAGTTTGGGTTTTTGTATTTTTCTTTGAAAAATTCGGGACCACTTTGAAAAAAATTGATGGTTTCCCCACGATTTAGATAATTTTATATTCATTGATGAAGTACATTTCATCAATATAGTATGTATAGATTTTTCCCCTTATTACCAATTCGTCAAGTTCATATGATTTCACTAATCAAGCAGGTAGCACGTTATAAGTTCTATTAGCAGCGACAAAATTCGGTATAATCCTCAATTTTTCGTTTATACATAGGTTTATACAACAATCTAACTGAACGATTATGGTATACTTTTCAATGAACCTCAAATAACCTTAATATTTATGTCATACTATGACACAATCCAGTGTATAAGAAAATAAGAACAAGTGAGGTTTAAACTGTCTTCCTCAGTTCATCCATGACATCGTTGAAATCAGATGAATCTTCAGAGCAATGGATGTTAAAATATCCAAACAAGTAAAGAATCGGTTGAGACGGAAACGCTGTTTTTCTCACTTAATAGTGAATTATCGATTTTTTCCCGAATACCAATAGACGTTAGCATTTCTGGGATTTCATTTTGTGAAATCTAGAAGGAATGAGGAATTTAAAAAACATCTCTGTGCTTTTTCTCATCATGATAAACATCATAGTATTTTTTTAAAGAAATTAGTGTTCTTGTCTATTATAGCGTGTTCTTTTCATGAATTTTTTAATACTCTGTGAGTAACAGTTACATTATCAAGGTAAAAATGAAATTACACTTTGGCCTCATCTTTTTTACATTTATTTTTTGGATTTACTCTCTCATCTTTCATATCACTCCAGAAACACAATTTTATAGCATATATTCGTTCCTCTTGCAAACTTCTCTCGAGAATGTTTCAGAGATTCTCAATTGGATTTAAATCAAGGCTCCGAGCTGACTATGCCATGGTAGCGATACCAACTTCCTTTGGATAATTTTTCACAACTCGTGCGACGTGAGGCCTGGCATTATCTTGCATCAACAAAAATCCTTGCAATAAGCCTGCTTCTTACGTGTTTATAATGCTAATTAAATTCAATATAATCATGTTATGCCATAAAATTGTGTTTCTGGTGTGATAGGGAATATAATGAAGTAAATCTAAGAAAGAAATGTTGAAAACAGATAAGGCTGAAGTTTATATAAAATTCTAACTTGATGATGTAGGTTAGGTAAGGTTACAAGTGAGTGGGTCTATTCAGCCTCCCACTGCGACCCACAAGGGTCCATTGTGGCTCACAGCAATGTATACTTCATCAAGTATATCCAGCTTCTTAATGAAGCCGATAAGTTTACGTGGTGAGTGATCTTTCAGGTCCGAGGGCGATAGTAAAAACCCTGCCAAACAACGAAAATCTGATTCGGGCCGCGGCGGGGCAGGCACAGAGTACATGCTCTGCTGTTTTATCATCTTCAAGGCAGAGACGGGACGTCGGATCATCCGACAGCCCAAGTCTTGACATGTGATAATTCAGGCGACAGTGGCCTTTAAGAAGGCCTGTTAGAGAGCGTAGGTCATCCCTGCTGTTTGCTAACATTTGTTTGGTAACATTGTTCGAAGGATGTATAAATACTTTGGAATGATCCAATCCAGGTAGATTCTGCCAGAAGTTTGAAACTCTTCTTGCGGTCTAGGTGTTCAGTGTACGTTTAGGAAAACTTGGTGCGATGCCAATGGTAGGTTCTGGTCCACTGAAACTACTTGCGGCACCCTCCCTTGCAAGGAAATCTGCCTTTTCGTTACCTTCCATACCGGAGTGGCCAGGAATCCAGACCAGAAACAATTATTGAGTCTTCCAATCGCGGAGTCTTTTTTGGCAGTTCAATACCAGTCTAGACGTTCCCAGATTTGAGCTTAGTGCTTTCAGAGCCGTTTGGCTATCCGAGAATATTTTTATTGTTTTATGTGTGAGGATGGTCTCTTCCAATCTCTCCACACACACATCAATGGCATTAATTTTCGCCTGAAAGGACCCAAGACAGGCTGATATCTCTGTCCTAGGTCTGCGACCGTATACACCCGTACCAGAGCCTGCGGGAGTTATTGAACCATCTGTGAACCAATAGCTGTCTGCTCTTAGTAGTTCCTGCTTTCGGAGGAACCATAGTCGTCTCTATTCGGGATTAGGACGGTGTAAGGCAGGTCGTAGGTAACTGTTGGTGGCATTATGTCGGAGGTAATTTCCAGAATGCTGCGACTTTCTGTGTCCGCCAGTAGTCTGCTGCGTTCCATGTTAGCCTGATTTGTACAAATTGCAATATGCGCAATTCTGTATGTTGTCCATCTAGCCTCTCTCTCCAGTAAAATGTAGAGAGGAAGTCGGTCTAGAAGGATCTTCATTGTTGCTGACGGTGTGGTGCTGATAGCCCCAGTGATTGCCAGACATGCCTGTCTGTATGCTAGAGAGCTTTCCTTATGCCGTTCGCTGTGAGGCTTTTGACCACCAAGCAATAACTCCATATGTGATCATTGGCCTGACAATCATCACATATATCCAGTGAATTTGTTTGGCCCTAAACCCCAAGATTTTCCGCAAATCCTTCGACATGTCCATTAGGATAATCTAACTTTGTGAAGAACCTTTTCCAAGTGAGCGTTCCACGTGAATTTCTTATCAAGGATTATACCTAGATATTTTACTTCCGCTGCAAATGGAATAACCTCACCATTGTAGGAAAGTGGAGTTAGATCCTCCAGGTTCTTTTTTCTGGTGAATGTGAATCTGAATGTATCTTGAAGGATATCAGAGGCTATCCTTCCAGTCGTGTTCCTTGCCATACAACTGTTACACTATACCGGGAATTTCAAATTTTATGAAAAAAAACACGCTACAACTGCAAAATCCGGTATTTACAAAATGAAGTTTTTATGCGAATACAGTTTGCCCACGAATGTTCAGAAGGAGATAACATGTCATTAAAGAAAAACGTCAAAATCGGACAATTAGTTATGACAAAAATGTATCTTAACTTTCCGCCACTTTTCGTTGGTGCGTTAATTTCTTAAAGAAGTGTATTGTCATTGGTGTTTGATACCAAATTATGATTGACTGTATCATCTACTATCAATACATGAAATGATCAATATAAAATGGATATGTGGCGTAAATTCGAATAGTATGTACAACTCCATTATTAGAATATTAGAATAATTATTCTCGATGGCGAAAAAATCTGACAACAGAAATGTTGTGAAATCTCGAGCTATTGTCTGTCATGGCTTCAAATGAGAGAAATATGTGACAACAATGAAACACGTTTCAATAAACTATGGAGGTTTTCGCTTATGATTTTTGAAATGTAACTACTACTTCTGATGCAGCAGACCTAAATAGAATCCATATCGATAGGTTAGATCTTGAAATATTTACGACAGGCAAATTTGTTTATATTGAAGTAATATTAAATTTCAGTGTGTCATTTGAAAAACATTCAAATTATTTGAGACCCAAGTCCTCTCTTTCCATGACAGTATTTTTTTAAATTCCTGAATTCTAATAATTGTATTGATGGGTGTTTTCAAAAAGGATTGATCATTTATGTGGAAGTACTGCCAAAATGCAAGTTGACACCAGCCAAATGAACATACTATAACTCTTTCTTATAATTCGCACATTTGGTTGGGAAGACAATCAAGGGAGGTTGAATACAACATTTGATTCCTTTTCTAGTCTAGAACTTGTGTTATATAGTGTGATTTTGTATTTGAACTAATATTAAAAACAAAATTCACATTATCGTTTTATTTCATTTGTGGATTTATGGGCATAATTTCATGCACACTGTATAAGAAAATTTAGAAATATTAGATTTATACATCACAAATTAGAACTGTTCATAAGATCATTCAGTTACCATGTTTTCCTCTGGTTCGACGATTTCCAGCAGTCTTGGACCATAAAGCAAAACATAAGCACAGTGCCAATCACCTAAAAAAATTATATCATTCGAAACCACTTCCACATGACTCATTTTGCTTACAAGTATGGCAGATTCCAAAAAGATAATACTTAATGCAAAGTAAAATTCGATAATACCATCAACGTGAAAGTTGAAGCATTGATTTACTCATACAGGTTCATAGAATCAAATTATCAAGTCGACTTCATACACGAAAGAGATATAGGTAGTTGAAATTGGATGTGATTAAAGAGTAAATCAATTCTATAGACATACCATTAAATTTGCTAATGGGGGAGACCACTGATTTTTTGAAATGACATTATTGTGAACTCTATACTGAAAAACTATCAGTGAATTAATTTCGAATTTTTTCAGTCATGCTAAGAAGATGAAATAAATAAATTAGAACATGTCCATTTCAAAACACACAACTCCTGCGCCATTTGAATTTTTGTCAATTCATTGGTGTGACTGGTGCGACGTCTCAGTCCCAACACGCCTATTGCCCTTGAACTGACCAATCACACTGCAACACTGCAGAATGACGAGGTATCAGAGAGGGATAGCTACAGTTCGGGACTGATACGTCACGGCTTCACCATCATATTTAGCTTTTTTAAATATCGAATGAAATATGCTGATTTTAAAACGATATAGATTTGATTCCCTTCAACTTCAACTCATAATATTGATTGTACATAAAACGTAGATCATGATTCGTCGATTGAAAGAGGTTTGCTCGGATTTCTTCCCTCAGTGGTCTTCCCCATTGATATTATACTAACTCACTCCTAATTAAAAATAATATTTATTTTGTTCTCTCAAATGTCCAAAAATATTAAATATCAATAAATAACTCCTGATGAAAAAAAGAGGATTTTCTGATATAACTCACCTCCGCCAGACAATTTTAGAATATCTTCAGTGGTTACTGGCGAGACATTGTCATCATCACACATGATCCAGTTGTCACCAGATTGTCTAACCCACCCAACATAATGGCCACTAGATGAAGAGCGCCCTCTATGAGTTAAAACTGCTTGTAAAGTATAGTACCCACTATTGTTGCTTCCTAAATCTGAAAAATTCAAAAAACCAAGTAAAATGACTGCAGAAACTACTGATTCTTGGAAAAAGGGAAATGATTGTTTCAATAGAGCAATGTCTGCTGACGTCACAACATGGCGCACTCGTCGTTTTCATCAGCTGATCGGGGGGACAAACAAAGCTGTGTGTGAATTTTGATTTTATTATTTCCGACCCATTGGTGATTTTGTTGAACTTGTAGATATTATACAAGAAGAATGTGTAAATTTTTTTCCAAAATGAGTATCTATTGAGGTATATTACGAGGTATATTAGGTATATTAGAGCTGAACTCAAGTAAATCCAGTAATTTAAAATTGACATATAAACCAATTTGAACTCTTCTTTGGACTCATTCACTTCTCTCACAGGATTCATGATGAATGAATTAACAAACATGTCAATAAATAAATGCTCCAGGTATTGTATTTTAGTGGTAAATGTGCAAGAAAGTTACATGTACCCTTATGGAAAATGTGTATGCTTGTCCCCCCAGCAGGTGTTCAATGGCCGTCATATGACGTCACTGACAATGCTCTATTGATAAGATAATAATAATAATAATTAAGACCCTTCCACCAATAAACAACCAGATACAAAACATGAATAGTTGCAACACAATCTCATCTCAGTTGCGTTTTGTCTGAGGATCTTCATAAAAATTTTGGGCACCGGCAAACAAAAACGGGCACCAAAAAGTTTTCCAAATTGTTCGCCCTGTAACTCTTTTAATTCTTGACCAATTTCGGAAAAATTTCGATCAAATCGTATATTCATGTTTCGGAATGTTAGAATGAATATTGGGTCCTACATACAGGGGAAAAACAAAAGTCACTCTCTCACCCTTAACTTCTTTACGACCTGTGGCAAAGGTGAGTGGTAAACTTCTTCATAATGTTTTGGATTGAAGTGTGATCCCTTCTTAACACAATGGTTTTTGATTCACGTTGATAACCACTTTTTAAGAGAAGAAAGTATGTTTTTTTTTTATTTTTATTAACAATAATTCAAACCGATTCTCCAACCTTATGCTTCATCATGTTTTGAATTCGTCCCTTCTTAACACAATGGTTCTAGATTCAAGTCAATATCTTCTTAAGAGAGGAAGTACAGAATTTTTAAATCTTAATTAACAATAATAAGCAAGTGGACTAATTTTTTTATATTTCCTAGATAGAATCATCACTCAAATACCTTTCAATTTAATATTTTCATATATTCAAGAATTTTTCGATAGATTTGTAGGTGCTAAAATCATCAATTATGCCACGGTAATTTTCAAACGGCTAGAAATTTACCTCCAGTAAAAACTGACCATAGCACAGTTGCCATGTGTAAATAATAAAATTAATTTATATTAGAGGACATTATAATCGGTGAACGTGACAATCACGGCGCACGACTTGAGGGCGTGGTCTTGTCAGTTCTCAGCATTCAGCCCCATTCTGCCAAGTCTCCAACATTCACATGATATGTTGTTATGGAGAATGAGAAATATTTGCCCGAAAAAGTCAAGAATGAACTATGACATCATGGGTTCCTCCTATTATAATTTATTCGACGTATCGCCAAAATGGCGGCCATGATGGTTCGTTTGAAATTTCGCCACAGAGCGTTAAGAAGTAAAGGATGAAATAGTAACTTTCGTTTTTCCTCGTATAATGATCAAGTCATCAGCTTTTCACAGAAACTAACATTTGGGCTAACATGAATCTACGATTTGATCGAAATTTCAAAAAAATCGGACGAGGATTGAAAAAGTTACAAGGTGAACAGTTTCGGGAAATTTTTTGGTGACCGTTTTTTTTGCAGGTGAGTGTATAATACAGGGTGTCCTAGAATTGAATACACATTGCGAGTGAACAATGATAACAAATGAGAATTCTCCAATTGATACTTCTTTTATATTATGAAAAATCCACAGCCCACTAGCAAATGTTTATCATAATTCAATGTTTCAGTGTTTTTCATCATTTCTGGACATCCTATGTATAAAGTATTATACATCATTTTCAAGGAGAAAAAAATATCGAATTCAACGGAGTAATAAATAAAATCCATTGAAAAATAAAAAATATATAAGTTTGTGTCGTATCTCCAAAAATATAAATTGAGTACACCCCTGGATTATGCTCAAAATTCCCTGTTAGACGTAGTTCTTAGCGTGAAATCATTTCTAATAACTAGGTAAATACTAAAGGTGTCCAAAAAGCGGGTGAGCCCCGACATTAAAAGTTTTGTGTTAGGGTCCCATGTCGCGTAAGCCCCGACACTGAATTTGGTAGTTCGACCAAACCTAAGTTTGCGAATGCGTGTGAAAAAACATGTTACTTATATGGTGATTCCTCAGATTATTAACACGTTTATAGCTTAGTATGCACTTCTGTTTGTTTGCTTTATTGTAACGGAATCTTCAAACGTGACCCAATTAAAAACGTCAGATTGATTTGGAGTTTGGCAGGTGTACATAATTCTGGTGACAATGCATCATGAAATCTTTGTTAGAAAACAAAAACAAAAATGCTATCTGAAAGTTTTTGGGATCGGAGATTATGGATCTTCGGTCAAAATTGGGAGATTCAAGATGGCGGATCCAATATGGCGGATAAGTTTCGAAATTATCATCTGATTCTATTCAAAATTAGTATTTGGGAGATTTCGGGGTCGGAGATTATGATTCTTTCGTCAAAATTTGAAAATTCAAGATGGCGGATCCAATATGGCGGATGAATTTTGAAATTATGACCGGATTGAGAGATACAGAAGTTATGAAAACATATAATCATTTTCAGAATTGAAAGTTATGTTAATCCAAATGAGTCATGATTAAGTAAAATTGTATTTCTTAACAGGATTTCTAGTAGTTGTATTGAAGTGGGCTTAGTGAATCGTTCCTCTTCCAGAACATATGTTTCATACTACAGGATTGTCAGTTGTACGAAAAATGTATGTTCTTCATACAGGGCGTGGAAAAAATTCGGCATTGAGAAAACCCAATCATGAATCTGTGAATAGAGTTTTGTGAAAGCAAAGTTCCATCGTTCAAGTTTGAACCATGGTAGGGTATGAATGTTTTGAAAAAGGTACATTTTCAGATACATTATGAACATAAAAAATGGAAGAATTTTATTTTCGAATTCTTATTGTGTGTGTTCAATAGATGTAATTCAATGTTTGTAGTGGCATATAGCCAGGAAAGTAGTTGTTTTCTGTTGAATATACATATTTTTATCAGATAGATAACGCAAATTCTCAATGTATTTCCTAATATGTATAATTTTTTTTATGTTCATAAAATTTCTGAGAATATTCCTTTTCAAAATACTACTTGATGTTGATCATACTTCAAATTACAATTCATAACTTGGGATATTTATGAAGTCATTACACTAATTCATTTAAAATTCTAAACACCTCACCATCTTCAAAACAATAAGGGGCATACTTCTTTTCTTCACTAGCTTTTACATCCCCTTTATTTTTATCCTTATCCTTTGAAGCAATCTCAATTTGCATATCTTCAAATTCCTTGAATTTGGCTCTAACTGGTGCTAGTTTTTCTTGTAACTCTGGGGTACACAAATCAAATGCATCAAAATCCATGGGGAATTTGACATCTTTCAAGATCTTGGCATTTATTGATTCTTTTTCTTTGTAATAGAATCTCACAAACTGTACAGTTAAATACGCCGGCAATCGACTAATTTTTGACTGAAAAAAAAAACATTGAAAAATAAAATCCTTCAACAAAAAACCGAGTGTTACCATTTTGGTATAAATTGCATCCCTATCTAAAGTTGGAGATTTTTTCGTCAACTGCTCTTGTAATTTCTAAAAAAAAAGTTGAATTTTCCAAATAAAAATGAATTACACAATATAAATTACATTCTTGAGTCCTGAGTGCATATATCGAACGTCTTGGGAAATGAAACAGCTCAGTTGTAAAAACTGTTCTTTACTTTTTGAGACAGGTTCATCTTCAGCTTCAACACATTTTAATTCACAATCAAAAGTACCACCGAAATATTGATCTATAAATGACCTGAAAAAGAAAAAACAGAATTATTACGTGAAGTTTCAGATTCGAAATGGAAATGTAATCAAAAATATTGGCGATGCAGATTACACGCGAGCGTCTAGTGGTACAATTGGAAGCTGTCAAAAACGAAACTTCATACTTCATGTTCTGTGATCACTTTGACGTGAGTGTCATGAACTGAAAACTGAAGTTGAACAAGTATCGTTCTCACGCTGCTTCAAATTCTGCCACTAGAGGAGCAATCGAGAATTAATACTTGTGTCGCAAATAGCATCCTCTGTTGAGAAATATATTACTAATAGTTAGTGACAGCTTGTTGGTCCTTATTATAAATACATTGAAATATACTAAAATCACGTGAAATACTTTTTACTTGCTTTACTTATTTCTTATTTCAACATCATTTTATATTACAGCAAAATCAGATCATGAAACTTTATAGTATTTAATACTGTGGAAAAAATCGTATTTCCAAGTAAAGGACATTTGACCTTGAACCCCAAAAAAATCTGTTACGGCCCATTTTTCGTCCATACTATAATTTACACTGGAATGATGCCCTTGTTGCTGTTAATAATAGTTGTTATTTTTTAGTGCATGATAAATATATACAGTGAGTTATACTGTTAAATTGCTCCACACCCCTGTACTTTCGTATTCCTGTATATGTATTTCAATATGAGTGCATGTGGACCCATTCAATAATTTATATGTTTATTTTATACACCCTGCTTATACCATTATATTATTATTTATATCAATTGTTGATATTTTGAAGTGTCTATGTGTATTACATATCTTGTATTTCTATGGGTTCAACCTTGACCGTGAAATTTTTCATTTCACTTTATTTATAAATTATATTTATTTATTCTTCATGCTTTTTCAACAAGAATTTGATTCTTCCGACCAAAAAGTATATTTTGATTGATTGATACTTTTCGTGTTTTTGATGTTAATCATTTCGGTTTTCTTATTATGAGATTGTCATATGTTGGTAATGAATATTTTTATCTTACCACAGATGTTGAATTATTGGAGTAAAGTGATAAAAATATTGGAATACGGTTCAGAAATTCAAATTCAGGTTTCGGATATTTTTGACTATTCACTTTATTAATGTTACTGGCCTATAGTTGTTGATCTTTTTTTTATTGTCCTTTTCATTAATAGGTACAATGATAGATTGCTTGGAGTCTTTTAAACAAATACCTGTTCTGAATATTACATTTGAATGAGTTGTAGGGAAAATCATTTTTTGCTCTTCAACTTCTTTTAATAATACTTCTTTCATTTATCAATTCCTGGAACTTTACCCACTTTTAGGGATCCTCTATATTTTTTATTTCTCCTTTGACCACTGGTTTTAAATATTCACTGTGTCCAGAAATTAACTCCCACGCCCCCCTAGTTATCTTTAAGTGGCTTGTTTTTTATTTTTTTTACTCTATTGGTAGTTCTAGTGCTACATTTTTAATTCAATCGAATCAAAATCTGACAAAAAAGTCGTAATATTACCTAAAAATTGCTAAACAAATTCCGAAACTTCAGAAAAGTTCAACTTTATTCAATCGTCTCTTTAAATGTTATTTAGATTTTTTCCATTTCCCGCGTTCTGAATGTTTTGAAGGATGAATTTCAATGATTATTTCAAAATTTCACGAAGCTCTGGAAACAAACAGAGTGAACTAAATTGGGTTAGTACTCTCAAATGATGGAATGAAATGTTTCATCGAAGCATGCCCAATGTCTTCATGAAGAAAAAATCAATATTTGAGATAACATCTAAACTGCTTAACTCATGAAACGTAAAATCGCATTCTTTCGATGAAAGAATCATCATGACTTTTGATTGTCTCAACCAATTTTCAACTCTTTCAAATGACCCGGAGGGCAGAAGGACGTCTTGTCCTAAGAGCCATCTAGAGGCAAAAGTGCGAAGGTGTATAAGTAGATTGTTTAAACAAGGATACCTTGTGAGTACGTCGAATATAGACCCATACGTCCACATATTATTACAGAAAGGCAAAAATGCCACAATTCTGCAGACTATCGCAACACCTGGAACTCTCACAGTGGTTTAATGTCCCACCGACAGATGGTGAGGAACCTAAAATCTCTTAGAGGAAAATTTCGTGAATCGATTGTCAGCTGGTCTAGTGCAACTGATGAGGCGTTGCAAAGCTGAAACAGTCTGTCTTGCACCAGCTGATAATCGATCCACGAAATTTTCCTAAAATCTCTTAGTCTTGAGATTTGAGGTTCCTCTCTTTCAATTCTTTTTGAGTAGCTGGAAAATAGTTTCAGAAATGAATAATAGAAAAAGTAAAACAATGAATCGGACTCATCAGCTACTGGTGAAAAAACTAAATAATAAAAAATCTTCTAGTATGGATGGTGTTCCTTCATTTTTAATTAAAAGTTTTATTTTTGTCAACTTAGCCGCTATGCTACTTGTCATTTTGTCAGGGTAAATTCCATACCAAACTGAAAATGGGAAAAATCACACCAATTCACAAAAAATAATAAAAAAATCTTGAAAAACTATAGCCAGTCACAGTGCCTTCGGTGAATGAATATTGCTACTTGGAAAGACTGTTAGATTTCTTTGAAATATCGGCGACCCAGCACGGTTTCTGTTCAGGGAAGTCAACGACATCTGCAATGCATGCACTGTTCATGTTCATGAAATTTCTGAGAATATTCCTTTTCAAAATACTACTTGATGTTGATCATACTTCAAATTACAATTCATAACTTGGGATATTTATGAAGTCATTACACTAATTCATTTAAAATTCTAAACACCTCACCTCATCTTCAAAACAATAAAGGGCATACTTCTTTTCTTCACTAGCTTTTACATCCCCTTTATTTTTATCCTTATCTTTTGAAGCAATCTCAATTTGCATATCTTCAAATTCCTTGAATTTGGCTCTAACTTGGCTAGTTTTTCTTGTAACTCTGGAGTACACAAATCAAATGCATCAAAATCCATGGAGAATTTGACATCTTTCATTGCTACTTGGAAAGACTGTTAGATTTCTTTGAAAAATATCAAGGTATACGGCGACCCAGCACGGTTTCTGTTCAGGGAAGTCAACGACATCTGCAATGCATGCACTGTATGATCACATCGTATGTGGCCTTGAAGCAGGAATCTTCTGTGATTTGAGCATATCGTTCGAATGTGTTGATCATAATTCATTAATTTCAAAATTTGAAAACATCGGAGTCCATGGAACATCATTAAATTGGATGAAACCTTATTTAACAGAACGAACTCAGTTTGTTGACTTGATTAGCATAGAGAATGGAAATCTTAGACATGTTAACTCGCAAACAACAGAGGTCCTAATCGGCGTCCCCCAGGGTTCCGAACTGGGCCCTGTACTATTTATATTCTATGTGAACAATGTTGATCTTGCAATTCCTCAGGCATTTCTGACTAAATCTGCTGCCGACAAGTCGGTCGTTATTTCAGCAAAATCTCAGGAGTTGATAAACCAATGTAATACTACACTATGTGACTTAGGTGGCTGGTTTAAACAGAATTCATTATACTTCAATATGGAAAAAACGTATCTGATCCAATTTCATAATCCGCAAAAGAAATTAAATCCTTTGGAATTGAAATTTAATGATGAACCCTGCAATTAGGTGGATTATACAAAACTTTTAGGTATCTATATAGATGAAAATTTCAACTGGAAACAGCATTGTGAGATTCTAGTCTCGAAATTGCACTAAGTAACCTATTAATTTAAAAATTTGCGGCACATTCTCACCACTGAGCAGCTTTTGATAGTGTATTATGCAGAGGTAGAATCTCGATTGCACTATGGGATCTGTTTTTGGGGTTGGTCTACGAGCATTGAAGACGTATTTTTGGCCCAAAAGATATTATTATTATAGATGTGTTGGCTGGGGAGTCACTTAGATATGGAAAGAGTATCCAGGTACAGAACAAACATGAATTTTTCACATTGAATTCCATCAGATCAGTGTTCATTCATCAATTTCACGTTTTATTAAGTTTAACAATGAAGTGAACATGAAAAGTATAGAGAATCAATAACACATGGGTTCTCAATAGGCACTTGGGCCTCCTCTTGATCGTAGAAGATATACAGGGTGTCCGCTAAAAGGAGGTCAATCCATTAACCACATATTCCTTGAACAAAAACAATATGAGTTTCTAAATATCATTTTTCATTTTAGCCCTTCATATTCGGTATACAGGGTGTCAAAGTTGGAAATTAAAAACTGTTTTTTTCTAATTACTCGCGTATTTGATAAGATATTAATCTCAAAATTGGTACATTACTTCAACACAAACAGTTACATCGTGTGAGGAAAACAAAACAGAAAATAACTGTCAAATATTCAAGATACTGGGGGTCAAGTTCACACTTACCCCCATATTTTGTTTGTACGTGCGCTAATGACTTCCTATCTATTTTCCTTCAAGTGTTCAATCATTTTTGAGTATTTTTTGTTTCCTGTAAAATTTCGATTGAATCATTTGTTTTTAAGATAATTCGAAAAGTACTGGTTATTGTTTGATGCCTATGCGGCTTAGGTAATCTCATAATGTTCACATACTCCTATTTATTTCGTCGAAATTGAAAGAGGGCGTATCTTTTTACGTACGAAAAGGTAAATATGGAAATACCGGGTGCTCGGAGCAAATGTACTAAAATAATTTTTACAAAAAAAAAAATTTAGTGTAAAAATTATTTTAATACATTCGCTCTGAGCACCCGGTATTTCCATATTCACCTTTCCGTACGTAATAAGATACGTCCTCTTCCAATTTCGACGAAATAAATAGGAGTATGTGAACATTATGAGATTACCGTAAGCCGCAAGGCATCAAACAATAACCAGTACTTTTCGAATTATCTTAAAAACAAATAATTTTATCGGAATTTTACAAAAATCAAAAAATACTCAAAAATGATTGAACACATGAAGAAAAATAGATAGGAAGTCATTAGCGCACGTACAAAAAAAATATGGGGGTAAGTGTGTACTTGACCCCCAGTATTTTGAATATTTGACAGTTATTTTCTGTTTTGTTTTCCTCACACGATGTAACTCTTTGTGCTGAAGTAATGTACCTATTTTGAGATTAATATTTCATTAATTACGCGATTAATTAGAAAAAAACAGTTTTTAATTTTCAACTTTGACACCCTGTATATCGAATAAGAAGGGCTAAAATGAAAAATGGTATTTAGAAACTCATATTATTTTTGTTCAAGGAATATATGGTTAATGGATTGACCTCCTTTTAGCGGACACCCTGTATAAGTGTATAGTTCACCGCAAATTAAATCAATTCGATCCTGATACTCGTCGTTAATCTATTGCAATTGTGATGGATTTTGTCAGTTTCATGTCATGTCTCAGCAGCAACATTTTTATTTAGGCGTCATTCTATATATATCTAATTTGCCTTGAAACTATCTTTCAAACTTGACATGGTGAGGACAACTTCTCCTACACGATTTGATCGCCAGAAAACGTCTTAATTAGTTTCCTCACAAAAGGATGCTTCGAAATTTTCCTGCTCGTCAATAAGAGAATTTGAATTTTTTTGTATTACTTGATGACATAATTATTGTTGTTCGAGGACCACCCTGTATATAAGAATATGTTGATAATGCATCATTTCAAGATTTTTGACCACCGTTCGAACGAGAATGACAGGAACACAAAGCCAATAGGAATTAGAGCATCAAATTATGCATTGTCTTATAAAAATATTCTTATTTCAGTAACGAATGTGACAATTCGAAAAATGTTTGAACAGTACAGAGAAAACTTATGATGCGATATGCTTTTGACCCCGATTTTACGTTTCATGTGTTGAGCAGTTCATATCATGTCTTACTTGAATTGTTCCTGTGGGGTACCATTATTTTGTCGTGCAGGTAGCTTTTGTTGTAACATTCTGATAATTTCAGTCCAACACTCATTAGCATCCTTAAATTGATTCAGTTACATTATCGAAATAAAATGCATCTAAATAAATCACCTGTTGAGCAAATGTACCATGTTCATTTTTTTCTGCAAACCTAGGGAATGCCATATGTAATACTTGCAACAACACCACAGGAGGAACGTTATTTCCCTTATCCATACTACTGTAAAGATCTCTGAGAGCTGCAGTTATTGACTGTGCTGGAATTACACTTCCTGAAGCTGCAACACCTGGAAGTTGCATATAAGTATTTAGAAATAGTTATTTAACCAACTAGTGTATTAATGAGGGCGATTAATGATCGAGATATTTTAACGTGCGAGCGAGCGAGCGCGTTAATGTTTGAGATCATTAATCGCCTTTTAATATACGAGTTGGTTACAAAATTTTTCCGTCGACTATATTTCTCATTTCTCCTGCAATGAAAAAAACTTGGTTCGCGAATTCATCATTCATCCGGAAACTACTAAGAATCACCCAGTAGCCTTGTTACTGACATTAGTGACATTTGTCGAAATGATCAACATAGAAAATAAATTCCTTGTGTTAGAAAATAGGGATTAAAATCGTTACAGAAACTTGGAAAGGCGAACCCGTTAACGGAAAATCTTCAATGAAATCCATATTTTTTATTTAAATGCAGATTCCGTAAGTTATAGCATAAACAATGAATGCACACGGTGTATGTTTGGTTGCCTATAAAACAATCGTGCATTAATAGACAAATTGATCATTAATAGGGGTCATTAATGAACGATTTCATAAACATTAAACTTACTCGTTGATACGAGGTCGACGGAAAAACCTATTAATGTTTCTAGAGAACTATGTGTCCTAATTCAAGTATAATTCGTACTTATAAGCAGGAAGGGCGATACACAAAAAATTTAGTATGTAGTATTATTCTCAGAGACATAGCAAGTGGTTGATGTATCATTCCTGAATCATCATTTTATGACCTACTATGATTAAGAATAAATCCAACAAAACATTTAAGAACTATATCAGGCATTTTTTTGTACCACTAGCTCTAGATCCTTCGATCGTACAACAGTTTGTTGTTCGGAGTCAAGAACCAATACTATTACTTACTCTTTCTCGGGTCGGCTTTTTCTTATCAATATACAGTGTGGGAACCTATCATGGGATAAAATCCATTTCCATATCAGAAATATATTTTAAAAAATACTCGGAGGAGTCTATCCTTATTTTTGAAAATATATTCTTTACATGAAACTTTTCAACCAGCTGTCCTGCCCTTGAGATCAATTCCTTAAAAGAGACCGTCGAATGATTTCTAATTTATCCGATTTTTTGTCCAAATCATTGGTAATCTTAGGTACTGTTTCATTGAATTCCTTGCAAAGTAAATTTATCTATATTTGAATCAGTTGTTCATACTGAATGTTCGTCTACGCCTATTTACAAAGAAAAAGTAAAGTCAGATGCAAAGAACATATCGCGGTTGGATGGTGTTAGCGCTCTTAATGAAAAAGCAACTAGATGTGCTATCACCGCCCATATTAATTGCATTTGACTGTATCTAACCTGAAATACCCCTAACCTGAAATACGAAAATAAGACAATGGCAGTATGTGACGCTGCTGATTACTTCGGAAGATTTCCAATCGGTTTTTAAAGAAGACAAAGCTCAATATAACATAAGCCAAGAAGCGGATAATGTAATCATTTCTTAGTGAAGTATCGGTAGGGGACTATTTTCAGGCGGTAAAAATGCTCAAACCATAAATCTGCAGGTTTTGATAAAATTCCGCCCTATATAATAAAAGGATACGCCGAGTGGCTCCAAGAGCCACTGTGTTTTCTTTTTAATCTATCATCTATTCATAAATCTGGAACTATATCTGACATGAAAATTATAGACCGATATCAGTATTATGTGCAACAGCTAAATTATTCGAACAAATAATATATAACAAAACAAAACCAACATGTGAAGAACAACACGGATTTGTTCCAAGAAAATCCACCTCCACGAATTTACTTACTTTCAATCACGATGTGCATGGACACATTTCTGAAAATGCAAAAGTCGACGTGTACTACACTGATTTTCAGATATAATTCGATAAAGTGAATCACGACATACTATATTGGATAAAATATGTGATTATGGAGGAAACCTGAGAAGTATAATTTTTTTCGTTTCCTATCTGAAAAATCGACCTTACAAAGTCAGATATCGTGTTCATTTCTCTACCAGATATAATGCAAACTCGGGAGAACCTCAAGGGTCCAATTTAGGTCCACTATTCCTGATATTGATTAATAATTTACCACATCTGAGATACTCAGACTATTTGTTGTTTGCCGATGTCCTCAAATTCTATAAGAAAATAGAAACGATAGAGGATTTCCTTCATCTTTAATAGAGTTATATGAACTCCGCTCATTCATGGTCCCTTGTAAATGATCTGGCTTTCAACAAATCAAAATGTATGGTATCGTCTAAAACACCAATACACCATTGAAGACGACAGAGAGTGTGATACTACATTGTCGTTTAAATCACACATCGAGTGGGTTTGCGCACCGGTACTAAAAAGTCTGGAGTTTGTATTTAGGAATAGCACACATTTTCGAAACTGGGAAACAGTTGGTTTTATATAATTCACTGGTTACAACTAAGCTAGAGTATTGTTTTGTAATTTGGCACACATCAATAGTACAAACTCACACATTTGAAAGAGTGCAGAACCGCTTATTATGATACCTTTATTTTAAATAATACATATAATGAATACCCGGACTACGTAACGATACGATAATTCAGGATTCGAAATGAATTCGATATAAAGAGCTTGGAAATTAAGAGACAATTAGCACTTGTGACCATGTGCTATAAATTATACAAAAAAATGTATCTGTCCTTAATTAAAATTACTTCTAAGGGTAAGAGTCCCCTCTCGTGCAACCAAACTCCAGCAATTTTTCGAAATATCCCTACCTTCCACACGTAATTATTGTTCACCTGTTACTACCATGGTAGAACAAACGAACAATATTTTGCAATTATTAGACCTCAGTTTTGACCTACCTCAATTCAATATAATGTTTAGTTTCTTCATGATTTTTTTTTTAGTATTAATTATTATTTGTAAGTATGTTGTTTGCTTCGATTATTAGCTGTAGATGAATGATATTTTCCCATGTAATTAAGTTCTTGTAACTTGTTTGAGAAATAAATAAATAAATATATCCAAGTTCTCCATCATATGGCAGAAGATGACAGTCATCTACCTACCTAAATTAGCCTAAATCGTACCATCCAATAAGTTTAATGTTGTTCCTGCTCAAAACGCTGAAATGGCTGATAGACAGATGTATAAGAGAAGAGGTATTACAAACAAACCCTCTCTAGGCAAGTCAACTGACTTAGCACTTGATGATCTGAACAGGCTACTCGCAAAGTCAATTGAGGATAGAGATAGTAGCTCAGTAAAACGGTAACGATGAAAATCTTGTCGTGGAAAAAAATCCAGTACATGGTTTCTCTACGGTTTCATATGTTTTTGGGGGTTCTGAATCCGAATCAGAAGTTTTCAAACAAAATTTCCTGGAGAGTTTCGAGATATTCGCAAAAAACAGTAAAATTTTCGCACTTTTCTTGCCATACAACTTATGTATTGTGTGTATTTTAGTACACTCCTACTGTGGATGTGAATTATTGTTTCTATGTATATAGAACTATGTCCATAGGTTGTTGAGCAATAAGACACCAAAGGTGTATCACATCGTCAAGAGCTAGAGTTTTTGAGAGGTGATTATTTTGATTATTGAAAAAAAAATATTTGTGATTTCAAACAATGAATAACTGTATCAAATACTGTTGATACATGGAATGTTAAAAATGAAATAGCTATATGGCGTAAAAATTGAAAGAGCATATTTCCTATAGAGCTCATGTAAAGTTCGTCAATATGCGAGAAGGTGAACGACGCTCGAACTTTGACACGTAGTTTTGTCGTAGTTGTCACTCATTTGAATTGTTTAATTTACCTATAGTTATATAAGCTCTAGAATTCATAATTATATCAAAGTTTTGTATTTTGTAAGTGTATTCTGTGGGGTGAGAGGGACATAAAAAATTTACTCGAAAATTATTATTCTGTAAATTTTTCTATTTTTCTCGTTTTTTTTAACAAAATGTAGTTGATTTGGCTGAATGACTTAGGTTGATTGTCTGTTAGAAGAGTGATGTGTGCCACAAAGTAAATGATATCATAAGGAATGGGCTAGTGGACTGATTTTTTTTATTTTCAATTCCTTATCTTCACACTAATGCTGTCGAATTTTTTTTTCAAAAGTATTCTGAATGGTTTTAATGTCTTGAAATCACATATAACTACCAATGAACTAAATGTAACAACTACTGACATCAGTGACATCACTACCCAGCAGTGTTGCCACGAACTTTTTACCATATTATGCATGGCGCCGACCCAAATTATACACACCAACGATTCCGAGCAATTTTTGTTTGAAAAAAAAAGGGATTATATGTATTTCTATTCAGAATTTCGACAAGCTATGCTGATATTGCTGATAATAATCTTTGATGATTTGAGATAATAATCATCATAGAACAAACTTCAATTATTATAACAAAGAAACAGGTTCAAGTAAAGCACCTGAACCTATATTATTCATTCTGATTATAATATAGATGTCATCTGCCATTTGGATGAATTGACGTATGACGTATTCAGAAATAGCAAGAACATATATGTTTACGTTTTATTAATCCGATTCCGTAACTGGAATCACCTTAGTGTGGCGTTTTATTTGCAACTTCTTCGATTCTGGTAGCTACTTTCCATTCCTACAAGGAATTTCGCAGAATGACTGTTGACAGTTGTCAAAAAATTAAACCAAATAGAAAAACGAAATTTTTTTAAGTAGAAGACAAGATTATTTAGAAGACATTTTTGTCGTGAGGTTCACAAGTTTATTCATATTCTTTAAAGTAAGACAGGTCATAATATATGATCATTGCCAGATAAAATTAATTCTCTCGACCTCAGAAAAGTTTCTCTAATCACCACAATCACTGCTCCAATATTCGTTGATTCATTTTCTACACTCCTAAATCTAGTATTATGATTTTGAAATTATTTGGAGCCCAAATATACATATAAATATAACCTCTATCATTTATAATAAATGTCAATTCTCTCATGCAAGGTAATGAATTTTCTCGTTGTGTTACAGCACCTCGCCTCTCGATCACTAGGTTTACTATGTAGTACCGCTCTTTGTAGCCAGTTGGAGCCACACATTTTAAAAGGATTGACGTAGTCAATCAAGAAAGGAAAATACTTTATGCCCGTGTTCCGTTGTCGCATCTCTCGTGTTCTGTGCTTCTGTCGTCATTACGATTTTTTTTTTCGCTAAGTAATGGACTCTTTTGCTAGTTTTTTCTTGAAAAACTGTGAATATTTATGTAAAATATGCCCAAATCGTCAAAAAGAAGTCGCGAACGTTCTCCGCCCAACAGCGGAGAAGTAAAACGATCGCGCCGTGAATTATTACTCGAACTAGAACGAGAAATTGCCAATATGAAGATATGAAGAAGAAGATGGAACAGGAGAGTCGCCGCCATTTGCAACGATAAGTCCAAGTTATGATCATGTCGATCATGAAAGGTACCAAAGTGACACAAACCATGAAAGATCCCCTTCCAAAAAATATTCGGAAAAACCATAATGGGCAGTCTCGTACTAATTCTCCAGGCGACTCTGGAGGTGACCGTACAAAGAAATCATATACTTCTCCAAGGTCAAGTGTCCGCAGTGGGTCACGTGCCCAGAACATGTCTCCAAGGTCTGACGTCCCAAATGAGTCACGAACCCAGGACTATGTTAAGAAGGGCGGAAAACGTCAACAGATATCCAATACAAACAGGCTACATGCCCAGAAGTCTGAATCACCGTCCCAACACAGAAGACCAAGTGGTGACTCAGACTCACGGATACTAGATGTCTCATATGAGCATAATGAATCCTTGTTGAACAAAGAACATCTTGGATCGGGTTCTCCTCTCTCACAACCTGGAGATCAGGAAAGTCAGGTTGGTGACGATGACACTCTAGAATTGCTAGGAGAAAAAAGATAATCTCAAAACCTTTGAGTTACACCCAATTAAATGTAACAGGTGGAAAAATATAATTAGTAATGGCTTAGGAAAAGATGAAAGATCAAAACTCATGGAAAAATATGGACCTCCCTCTGACTTACCAACACTCATAGCCCCCAAAGTTAATGAAGAAATTGTAACTGCTATTCCAGAGATGATTATCAAAAAGGATAGTTTTCATTTATGATTACTTAATTAAATAGAAATAACTGCAAACAGTAGATCGGAGCAAGAGAAATATATCTGTATTTATTCAAAAGCACCTTTTGTTCATGCAAACTAGAGCAACTATTGGACGCTGGATAGTTCAGATATAAAAGTCAGCAGGAGTAAATACGGAAATATTTACTAGACATGCCGCTACTTCGGCTGCCTACCGTGAAGGTGTCTCATATGATATTATTAGAAAAGCTGCAGGATGGTCTGAACATTCAACAACCTTTGCAAGGTTTTAAAAAAATATTGTATTAATTCATAATTCGATTGGAACATAATTTGTACTATCCTTGCAATATTTGTATCGACAAAAGTCTACATGTTGAACCTAGTGATCTAGAGGGCGAGGTGCTGTAACCCAATTGAACGATCAAACGAACTTGTGAAGTTCGATCGTAATGGTGTAAAGCGCCTCGCCCTAATAGATCTCGTCCCATACCCCCAGCAATTGAAAGTTTGATTTGAAACTTGATTCCCTCCCTTGAAATATTGACAAGGATACAAAAATCTACTAAAAAGCATAATAACGACAGAAGAACGTGATATGGGCATAAAGCATTTTCCTTTCTTGATTGACAACGTCAATCCTTTAAAATTGGTGACTCCAACTAGCGACAAAGAGCGGTACTACATAGTAAACCTAGTGATCTATGCGGACGAGGCGCTTTACACAATTATGATCAAACTTCACAATTTCGTTTGATCGTTCAATGTTATTTGTAAACGTCATTCTGTTCCTACCGCCACTACCAGAATGGAACAAATAAAACACAAAAGTTTTTGGTTGTCGACCGGCTTGACCTACTGGTCGTTAGTGTCACGTGATCACAATGACAAATACGAATGGTTTCGACCGGTCGCAGTATTCAGAAACCTTGAAACTGTCAACTTCACTGACCAATTGATAATATAGCGAACATAACACATTACCTGGCAACTTAAGAACCAGATATATTAGGAATCATCTATATGAGTCATTGAATTTCTCGAGAAAAATTATGTTGGATGAAAAAATAATTTTGAGCTGTATATATCAAAAATAATCCAGTGAAGTGATCTTGGCCTTGGTCTTCAATAAAAATAGTTATTTATACACCAAGGTAATGAAGAATATCATTATTACCCAGGGACCAAAATTATATCCCAAGGCTTCCGCCGAGGGGTATAAGGTCCAGTGTTAAAATATTCTTTACTGCCAAGGTGTATATTAGATTTTTTTCACCACTAGCAATATATTTCAATTAGGATAGTTCTATGAAACTGAAATGTTGACCTGTCACTTTGAGAGCACTTCTTTCATTTCTTATTAAAATCTAGTAGCCACCATGACAGCACATGACAAATCATTATTGATAAATACCTACCAGTTTCGTGGGTGATTCCTGTGAACATCGCATTATAACAGCGAATTCGGGTTCATTATATCAGAGATGGCTATTTCATAATTGACTAGTGGTTCACAAAATGGCCGAAAACTACCTTGGCAGTAAAAACGTACTTTACGCCTTCAAAAGGAGTAAATAATGGTAGGTCCTATAGCTAGTGGTGTGAAACATTATTATTTGAAGTTCAGTCAATGCCGTCACCATTGAAAAAACCCTGTGGTCGCAGTTGTGTCCAAGTGGTTGCGACCGGTGGACAATCAAAAAATCTCCTTTAGTGATTACGGTGGCGGAATCGGATAAATAAACCGCAACTTAGAACGTGTAACAATGACAATATTACATGTTCCTTATGATTTTTGCATTCTGTGGCCCTGGGTTTTAGTTCTGTGCCCAGCGGTTGAAGCACAGAACTCATGTATGCCTTGTCACTGTCACATTAAACATTTCACAGAATGTTTCTTCTCATTTTTACGATCCGTGAGTGAAAATCCGAAAATGTCATGTCTACATTTAACATTTAACAGAGTTGATTTCCGCAGATCCAGCATATTATACACAATTATACATAAAATCGAAAGATACATACAATAATTATACACAGACCTCCAAATTATACATAATTTGTATAATTATCCATCAAACGGCAACACTGCTACTCAGTGAGTGAAACACATAGTTGCCAGAAGTCCATGAATATTTGGAAATAACAGTAATTGTCTAGCTATAAACATTCATGAATCATGATTTATTGCTCTCTATGTGGAAAGATTACTAGTTGCTTTAGAGGCAACTGGATAATAATGATATTTTATGTAAATTGTATACTTTTGTTTGATGTTTCCAAGGAAAATAATAATAATTTATGATTGATGGAATTTGTCACTTTCTGTGAATTCTGTGAATAAAAGTTAGTGAACATATTTCAATTTTATCTATTACAAGCATTATTAATTCACACTGAGAGAGATGTTAACTGAAAAGTGTAGATATATGACTTCACATCTTTCAACTCTTTTAGTAAGACAGTGCAGAGCAGTAAGTTTAGCCAACTTGTTGTGATTTTGGCCTAGCAATATTAACAGCTGACAGCTTCAATATCTGTTGGTGGAATAGTCTGTGCAAATAAGGCCATAATTTTCAACAACTTTGAACAGTGCACTGGCTCATAATCAGCAATGGCAAAGCTTAGGAAATTCGAAAGGAAATTCAGTACCTACCTCATCTCCCTTTTCTCCCTAGGTATGCACTATGAACACAATAGGGATTCCCTTTCCTGTGCTCCAAGAATTGAAAGAAAACATACACATTGAAGTGGTAAGAGAAACTCAATACCTGTTTGGTAGCCTATTATTCACTATCCTGTATACAAATAATTTTATATATTCAACTCACCCCCTTGGAATTTAAGTAGGGATTCTCTCAACTCAGGTACTGCCTTCAAACATTGAACTGTTGCATTCATGTAACAGGTATTTCCTAAATTTGTTAAGCCAGCAGGTAACTCCAGCTAAAAAGATTTGATTTTTATATTCACCTAAATAGAAGAAAATTCCCACAGATCCCATGATGGTCTTAAAATGTTTCTCTATGTGAAAATATGTAAAATGTTGTGTTGATGTTCTAGTTCCTAATTATTCTATATTCCATCAATAGAACCATTATCCAGACCATAGTATAGATCTGTGTTAATTCTCCTTTACATGAATAGCAATTCATACAGCAGTAGCTAATTCACTCTCATTCATATCCTCCACAAAGACAATTTTTTCAACTGGTTCTTTTGGAACATCTTCTTCTTTACTGCCCATCAATAAGACAGTAACACCCTATAAAATATAAGTAAAGGATTGTGAATAGAATATAATATGGCAATGACCATGCATTTTTTAATCTCACATCTTTCAGTTTGAAGTTGTCCCAATCAGAATCTTTCAAAGTTACACCTTTGATCATTACTTTCTGCCTCTCTGGCTGCACTCCTGTGAGGGCAAATAGTTGTGCCTTAAATAACAATGGGGGTTCATTGGTGTTAACCTCAATGTTTGGATAGGATTCCTTGCCCCATTTCACTTTAACTAAAACAAGTACATTTCAAACTGAATGAAAACATTAATTAAGAAACTAAAAATTGAGTTTTTTTATGGGGTTGAAATAGGTAATCAAATTGTTCATGGTGCAAAACTATACTTACCTTTATATTGGGGCATAATTATCTTTCTGTAAAAATATATGAATGTCAACAGTTTTGAATTGCGTTTCTTGTAACAATTACCGAAACCAAAATTACAGACACTTTATCAATCCCTTATCTCTTTTTGTATTCACTTTTCGCTTGTGTTTTGAGTTTTGACTAGCTAGCTACTCTAGCTGAGTTTTGAGGTTTTAACCAATTTTAACTTTTGAGTAGTCAACTAGTCACTGCAGTGTCCCTGGGTCAGATTTTTTCGTTATAGATTTCCTCGGAAAAGGTAACAGATTTGTATCGAAACTTAATATACTCGAAAAATCTTACATTTGACATTCTGAATGACATTCTGAATGTCATTCTTGTCAATCGCACAAATTAGACAGTATTGACAGAAATGAGGCAGAAGTCACACAGAACTTATGACATGAGGCTGTGTCAAGTCTGTGGTTTGACCGGGCACATACGTTCAGTATGAAGTCTGACCAGCCAGCTGTTTGGTAATGTCGGTCACGTTTTGAACCTGTCCACAAAGTTACCACATTAACTTCTTATGGAAGTCGAGTCAGCCATTGACTATTCTGGTATCACCACTGTGGTCAGACGAATGACTTGACACAGTCAAATATAGAACATAGACCCATAGAGCAAAACATAATTATCCGCTGAACACAGAAATAGATTTTTTGTAACGAAACATCATATTTTGGTGATAACAGCAAATAGTAATAGAATTCGGAATAAACATCCCATCAGTTTGAAATGGTTGAATTATAAATTATTCTGGACATTAGTCATCATGAACTACTCGGAGTTCTGGCCTTACCCCCTTCTGGACCGCAAGTGATGGCAACCTTGAGTGATGGCAGATTTTCATTACGATGCGAGCATTGATTTTGATCAACTCATTGTCAATAAATTGGAAATAGAGGTCAAAAGTCATGTTGATGTGTGTGCAAGTCTAACATTTTTCTTATTACCTGATCTGGATTGAAATCCAATATTTATTGTGAAGTTCATTAAGTGTGTAAAAATTATCAACGGTATAGAGGCCGGATGATGACGTATTCATCTGGTAAAGGGGCCATACTTGAAATCAAACGTGGTCCATTATTTCTACGCCAGTAACCAGGCCGGATCAGCAACGGATTTGCTGTGTTCAGTTGTCTATTATACTTTTGCGAATTTAAATCTTTTCTTCTCAAATCTCACCTCTATTTTTTTGATGTGCGAGAATGTGCCGAAAAGTACCTGCTTATTTATCTCCAAACTTTCCTGATTTTCTATTCAGGATACTTTACACTAATTTTGTGTTATTTTTTTCAACTCTGCGGCACTCTTTCCAAATTCCTTTCATGAGTGTCACCTCTTACTATCAGACTGAGAGGATATGTGGACACACAGTATGGTGGTAATGTCAAGGATTCAGCAGGCGATGAACACAATCGTCGTGAAGATGAAGCACTCCAAGGAATTTCCAATGTTGTTGAGATCGTGGAAGACATCCTGATTTATCACACCGACTATGACACTCACATCAAATCTGTAATCAAACGATGCGATGAGTACGGGATTCCATTAAATGCCAAGAAGGTCATTCTTGATCAATCGAAAGTTGACTGGTGTGGATTCAGGATCAACAAGTTCGGATATACTCCTGCTCCACATCTTGTATCAGCTCCCAGAAATTTTTCTACACCAGCTTCCAAAACAGATGTTTGATCTTTATTTGGGAAGCCACACAGGAACGGACATGTCGAGCAGTTATCGACGATTTAACTAGCCCCAGGATCCTATCTCACTTTTAGGGAGGAAATCCTTTGCGTCTCAAGACAGACGTTGTCTCGTTATCCTGTTGCAGATTCAGATGAAGAAGATCTCGGCAAGGAGCTAGACGCTGATCCCATTCTGCTTTATATTGCGGTACTCGAAAGGAATCAATGTGGCCCTCTGTTATCACAGGTCCCATCATGATTGGGGTTCGACAAGCTGTTCAGATAAGCAGCGAGTACCAACGTTAGAAAGATATCATCATCCATGGATACCCGAAAAATGCAAGCTTGATGTGGATTTACATCCATATTGGCGACTTCAGGATGACCTCTTTCTCGAAGACAACCTCATCTTCATGGGTTCACAATTACTTATCCTCACAACACTCCGACCAGCTGAACTCAAGAGTCTGCGTGCGTCCCACCACTTCGTCGAGCAAGACAACTACAATTACATTCGGAACATGGTGAGAATTTGCAGAGAGTGCGCTTCACGTCTACCGCAACAGCAGAAAGAACCTAAGTACGACACACTGCCGACCTTCCCATTCCAGGGCAGTATCTGTTCACCTACGCTGCCAGATGCGGACGAAGTGTCACGACATCAACAGTAACCACAATTTTACAGCAATGGTTCTGTGATGTTGGAATTCGGTCCTCAGTTTGCGTCACTAGAATTTCAGAAGTGGGCATAAAGATTGAATATCGATCACGTTACTTCTTCTCCCTACTACCCTCAATCAAACGGCTTAGCAGAATCAGCTGTCGAGGCAGCCAAGTCATTATTGATGAAAACAGCACCAAATGGAGCAGTTCACTCGCAGAAGTTTCTTCTCACACTCCAAGAGCGGATGGAAGAAGTTCCGCGCAGCTTGTATATGGTGCTCCAACCAGAACTACCGTCCCCTTGGCTCGCCACCAGTTCAAAGAGTCATGGAAAACAAAAATTTTTTAAGTGGATCGTCGCGCTGTGAGCCTGAGAGAAAAATCAATCATCCGATTCAATGCTAATGCTCAAGCCTGGAGATATAAAAGTATACGACTTCAAAACGAAAACATGTGGAAGTTATCGAGAAACTACCTCGAAGAAGTTACCTAGTCAAATCTGAATCAGGGCAACTTTCTCGACGTAATCGTTGGTTTCTTCGTCGATTATCTCCAACCCAGGTTGATGCATCAACATCTGAAATCACGTCTCTTCAGATTCGTCGATCACCAAGGTTGCAAGAACCCTCTTACGTCGGATGTGTCCAAAGGAGGGCATGAGATGATATGTGGACACACACAGTATGGTGACTTAATGTCAAGAATCTCGAAAGGAAGGAAAAACATCCTTGAAAGCCTAAATCACTACACAAATAATCACAGTGATCTGACGCCAGGCTATTAGTGGACCAGACCAGAATAAAACTTCCTGATCATACTCAGCCTCTACAATTTCATCGCGAAACATCATAAAATAAAGAATGCCAAATTGAATGGTCTGATTTGTCCAAATCCCCTCTTGTGACCGAATTAGTCTGAGCCAAATGTTGGGGTTGGGCTAGTGTCTGTCTACCATTATCTAACAAGGACCATACACTCTAAACTACTCTATATTACATCATAGATGAAAACCCAAAGTCATCTCCACAACATTAATTAGAATGATCAAAGACCAATCTCAAAGGAACATGTTTCAGGCTTATATAAGCTCATCATCAACCAATAGAAAATATTCTAGTTCTAGTGTTAGTTCGTCAGTGACAATTACAACTAACTCTCAGGGTCCGGGGTAGACAGCTATTATCTTAACCAACTTCCAAGATCTCCGTGGGATGTTATATATCTTCAACAATAATAACGATATCGTTGATTTGCAAGGGCTTTCCGTCGTTTGTCCATTTGGTTCTCTTTGTAAGAGTCGGCAAATACTCCTTATTAGTCCATCGTTTCCAAAACGATTCTATAAGTAATTGTGATTTTCTCCATTCGTTCCTGTAATTTTGTTGGATGTCTCTGAATTCGGAAATTTCAGTAAACGAATACATCAAAAAATGATTTGGGGTCAGTGATTCTAGATCATTTGGATCAGTCGAAACTTTTGTAAGTGGTCTAGAATTCACTATATATTCGCATTCAGTAAAAAGAGTACTGAGAAGTTCATCTTTCAAAACTTGTCCTTTCAGGATTGAATAAAAAGTAGTTTTCACGGAGCGAATCAGTCTTTCCCAGGCACCGGCCATATGAGGGGAAGGAGGAGCCAAGAAATTCCAGTCCATACCTTGTTCTGTGAAGCCGTCCTTCATTTTCTTCTGGTCCATTTTTTCAACTGCCCGTCGTAGTCCTTCATTAGCTCCTCGGAGATTCGTCCCGTTGTCAGATAATATTTCTTTTGGTTGTCCTCTCCTGGATATCATCCGTCGTACGGCCATAACTGCAGACTCTGTCGTTAATGAATAAGCTATACCTCGAGGTGTACAGCTCTGATGGTAAGGCAGGTGAACAGCACGCCCCATCTCTTTTCTCTTCTTCGGCCAACCGAAACAAAAAGCGGTCCAAAATAATCTAGGCCAGTATAAGTGAATGGTCTTACATAGACCTTTATAGGAAGTTGTCTCATCAGCAGAATGATTGGCTTTGCTCAAATCACTTTGCATTTCTGGCAACTGGCGAATGTTGATTCAACTGCACTTCTACCATCAATCACCCAGTATTTTTGTCTGACTGCATTGAGGACTATCTCTACACCTTGATGTGCAAATTTTTCATGAAAATACTGGTGTTATCCTAGGCTTCCTCGAATGAATGATTGGACGTTTGGTAGAAGTTCCTATATCACGGGCATTATCGATTCTTCCACTCAAAACCAATAATCCACGGTCGTCTAGACTAGGAGACAAATTCTTTTATCTACTTTGTCCTCTCAGTAGTTTGTTGCTTTTGAGACAGACTCTTTGAAACTCTCTGATTGGCAATGTTTCACTAATAAAATCTCAGCTTGTTCAATCTCATTGGCAGTCAATTCTTCAGGAAAAAAAAACTCAATTTTCTGTGACAGGCCATCATAATTTTGGTAAATCTAATCATCCATGCAGTCGTCCTCAATAATCTTAGCCATTTGGAGAATCTTCTTGGATCTGGCAAATATAAATTTTCGTCCGTAATTAGAATCATAATCTCTTTGTCAGTGTCTGGTTTCATAGTGTTTAAACAACTTTTCGGCCATGTGCTCTCATCTTCATTGTATATGAATTCAGGTCCACTGAACCAAGATTCAAAATCTATTGATTCTTCCTTATTGTAAGTTCGGGTGGCATTGTCAGCAGAATTCAATTTGGAAGGTATCCACTGCCAATCATTGGGGCCTCGAACTGTCCCAGTTTGCGTGCATCACCCCGTATCCAATGTAGAACTGTCATAGTATCTGACCACATACAGATTCTGTCAATCTTGATAGAGGGGC